GCTGAGCACAGGGCAGAAACGGGACACGAGATTGAATGGTCTTAAACTTGTCGTTTTGCTGATTATGGTAAGTTTGCGACTAAACGTAAAAATAGAGAAGCCATAGAAATAAACCGAATAGGAAATACCTTGAATGTAAGGAATACCGGTAAGAAGATAAATAAAAATTACTTGTGCTTAATTAATAGACTGAAGGATAGAGAAGGAGTTGAGCGGCCTGCAAAAAGGAGACGACGAAACTAATCTTTTCTTGTCTTGGTTCTAATTATAGTCACTTCTTTGTACTTTTAGCTCACTTTTTCCCTCTCGCTTTGAGACCAAAAACAAAAAATAGGCTCATCAACAAAACCAAAAAAGTGTCCGACCTTGCACAATCGGAGTGATGGTTGTAAAATATATGTAAAAAGAAGGAGAAAGGGGTCATCAAACCTTGATGGCCAAAAACAGACGCTCCTTTCTGCTGTCCTAATTACTTTTGAGCCATCACTGCGGGTTTCGTGCAAAAGCGAACACAAACAGGCACATACACATACAGATACAGACACACTCACATGCATCGAAGTTGACATATGACCTTAACTAACCAAATCACTTTATACTTGATCAAGATGTAAAGTATATATACCACTTTTTAGGGATTTGCCGGTGAGTTTTCTTGTCTCTTTAGCTAGATTTTTTGTTGTGACGATGTTACCTCGTTCTGATGATGTTCGTCATGTGACGTACGAAAGCATAACACCTCTTCACCGGAATCGAAGGAGATTACCTCGACAGCGTCAGCATGAATCTTCCAGTAAAGCCAATCGACAGCTGGTCAAGAGGAATCCGTCGTCGTCTTCTGTTAACCATTACGCCACATTGCCAAAAGTGTCCTTGGGTCATAGAGCAGATGTGAACTTTCAAGGAAGACCAGGAATTTTCCCATATAATATTGTTTGGTTGGATTGTCGATGAAGCAAAGTAGTATTTGCTATGACAACCGAATACATTACTATTTTCGTTCATAAGGAGGGTCTCGAGACTACCCCTAAAAGAATATGGTATGAAAAAATGGCTGGTACTCTTTGAAAATTCACATCTGCGCAGGGACCCAAGGGCACTTGTGTCAATATAGCGTAGTGGCGAGATTACATGCTGGATGAAAGCATTTTTTGGGAAAACCTGATATTCAATGTAAATGTCAGCTCTATTAATATCATTGTGGGAAAATTCAACTACAGGTCCTTCATCGGCGAAATAGGGCGAATACATTTACTGGTAGTCTCGAAACCCGACTAATAAACAAAAAATGGTATGTCTCTTCCTGTTGTTGAACAGTTGTCATGGGTCCAAGCGTGTTCTTTTAGAGGCCTTCGCTGAATCTCCAAGTCTGCCCTGGTAGTGCGCGAAATTATCGCTGGCTCTTCTCCCTTCTAATTCCATGTTCATTAGGTTTCTTAGACATGGTATGTCCACAGACTTCCTGATCTGTGCTCTGCTGTTCTCCCCATATGAGACTAATCTTTCCGTGCCACTCCAGACACTTGAATTAGCTTTCTCAGTTCCTCTTCCCAGAATTCAGAATCAGTAGGTAGAGGCTTCTGATAATCATACTCTGGAGTATTTTAATGTTCATTCGATAAGTAGAGTTATATTTGAATTTAAGAGTTATTCCAGAATGCGATTTTTTTCGGAAAAGTGGATTCCTGAGTCTCTACGGGGAGAATGACTTTAAAGAGGACCAGAGACTAAGCAGAAAAATGGATACGGAAAGATCGGAGATCGCTGGAAACATCGCCTTTACCTGCCAAGCAATTGACAAGAGCGGAAAAGAAATATTAGCCTCACATAGGGGGAACATGAGAAAAATAAAAATCAAGGGGTTTGTGGATATGCTCTTTCAAATAAAGCTAATGAACAGTATATTAGAATAGAGAAAAGTCAGCGATAAATTCGCTTACTGCCAAGGCAGACTTGGAGATTCAGAGAAGGCTTCAAAAAGAAGCTTGGACCCAGGACAAGTGTTTAACGACAGGAGCAGACATTGCCAAGGGGCGGATTATGAGGAACAAAGAGAAGTCAAGAAAAGGCGATTGCAGTGATTGGAATCACTGAGCATGGGCATCACTTTCTCTAAATCCTCGAATATGAAGTAATCCGGAACGGGAGATAAAGGCTCTTTAGCAGCGAGATTTCAGACAATTAAACAGCAATTATGATGCGTAGCAGCGACCAATTGACAAGCGGGGTAGAAGAGGAGTTAAATGAAGATCAGATCAGCAAATAGCACCTGATACCGGTGGTGGAGATGATTACGCCTCAATAAACCTACTTTTAGACACAAGCTTAGGCGATATTGGAGAAAACGAGAGCCAAGAATTGCGTGCTCAGGGGGAAGGGTAATATGAAGTGGGATTGATAGGAGATGCAATGCTAAAAGGTAGAATAAAAAAGATGTCACAACGGTTAAACAGATAATTAGTCAAGGGGATTGCCTTCACTTTTCACCTTGATAAGTTGTAACTCGGTACTGACGATGGCACATCTCACTGACGATGCCGACTACAATAATGGCGAAACGTTCGGGAATGTACCAAGTCAATGGTCCGATGCTAGAAATCACTAATAATATGCTAGAGGACACAGGACTAGTTTCGTTCCACAGAGCCTCCCTGACGCTCCGACCACGTTGCGAAAACTAGGTCTAAACAACAGTTTGTCATTGGTTCATTCCTAGTTGTCTTGTCTTTTGACGCCTTAGTCTCTTTATCCCAATATCGACCTTCGATTCCGCTGGGAAAATTAACATGCGAATACATTCTTCTAAGTTTATTGAAGCACATTCAAGCTTAAAACCAGTATCACGTCATCACACGAGAGCTATCGAGCAGAATTTTGAATTCAAGATTTGCGGTTTTTCTTATAATTATAATTTTATGACCCATGGTCCTGAATATTCTCATGAAATGTATACCGTAGTCTCTGAGCATTTATCAAGATCCTGAAATATCCCGTCTCAGAGGTAAACCAGGGTCCTTATTCGGAGAATATTGGATACTTTTATAAATATGAAGATAAACTGTGTTTCGATAAATCTCTTGAGATAAAATTGTTAGGGGGACTTTCATTTTGTATGAAAGTCCCTATAACAATGGATACTTTTAATCTAGAGAGTGACTAAGAAATATCATCACCTTATCATAGGTATAAAAGATTTTCTTATTTCTAGCTCCAAAATCACGTTTGCCTACACTAAGATGTTTTCCTACATCTAAGAAAATGAAGTGGCACTTAGAGAATCTTTGTCTGAAATATGCCGGTTGTATGGACTTTAGAGGGCAGCAGGTTTTTATTATTCATTAAAAATGGATGAAATGTATAATCAGTAAACTCTATTAAAAGATAAAGGTTTTACTAGGACAACCGGTAATGCTTTAGAAAGATGAGCTAGAAATTAGAGCCACTTTGATAAAGAAAATTTTTTACTAATAATATTGAATAGTCAGGAACGGGATATATGGTCAGAGGAACAGATATCGAAAAGTGATCATAAACTTTAATGACAAATTGGCCCTTACAGATTCTGCTGTGTTTGGAGGCCGATCTTGGGTGTTACCAGGAAGCAATTCATCAGCATCTCTTGTCACTAGGACAATCAATGGAGCAGCAGCTCTATGAAGACGATGGCTAATAAAGCACTGAATAGAATAAGATAGTCGGGCGAATTCAACAGTCTCAATAAAACTATAGTTCAATAAGCTTGATGCAGAAAATACTGGAGCATCCTGGAGTGATCCGGAATTGGAAGGACTAACAGCATTAGATAAATCACGGCAAGTGAGTTCAGGACTTTTGAAAGGGTGGTCCTGACACTTGTCAGGCGAAGAGCCAGAATCAAGACAAGCAGCGGTCAAATTCGTTGGGTTAGGTTCAATGGTAGAAGACGAATTAAGAAGTTCTGACAAGGACAGTTCGGCCGCTGCTAGCCCAGAGTCGGAGAAACACGAAACAGAGTTAGCCTCTACA